GGGCGTTTTAAAGGTGGGAGTAGAAAATGTAATTTAAATGTTTGCATCGAAAAAAAAGTTTTTTTACAGTTTCACAAAAACAAATGTTTTAATTGAGCAAAATTATGGACATTTTTGGAATCAGCGCACCCTAATTACCCTAGAAAAGTTGTTGACCTCCCTGTGGCAAAATGGCTGTTGAGTCAACAGTGTTGACAATTATAGTCAACACTGTTGAGACTGTGACACTTAAGTGTTATATACAGCCTTAACGTATAGGTTTAATTATTAATTTTTAGATATATTTTAAATATACCTAATATTATACACCCATTTCTGCCTTTTTGGGTAAATTATTTATTTTGAAATAAAATTACATGATGGATTAAAAATATTAAATATAATTTTTTCATCTTAGATTTTTTTAATAACATAATTTTTTGTGGGTATGTACTAAAAATGGTTCCTGTCAAAAAATTGGTGTCACTATTTTTAGTGTCCAAATAGGTATACTAAATGGTATATTTTTGTCTATTTTAAAGTAAAATTATTTTTGACAGGTCATTTTCTGGACTACAATTAAACCTAGCTGGAAATTAGCCAATAAACTAATTTAGTTTTTAATAAGCCGAACATTTTGCAAATTTATCTATTGTTCAGTCTTAAATACAATATTAAAATCCATTATTATAAACGTAAATAATTTTTAGTTATATTTAACAATGAGGAAAAATTTCTTAAACGGCCCACTCGCATAATAACCTTTACCATTTTTTTACTGGAATGTTAAAAAAATCAACATTTTAAAAACACATTTAATGTGTTTTTAAAATGTGAATTTTTTTAAATTTAAAATTCAACGTAGTTTTTTTTTTATATAAATTATTTATATATATATATATATATATATATACTTATATACCGGGTGTATCTGAGAATAGGCGCACCCCTGTAACTTTTTTATTTATGAAATTTAGCATGGTTAATTAGGATATAAAATGCCACTTATAAGAGTACAAAATTAATTTTTTGAACTTTCGGTTTCGCCGGAAATTATATCAACTTTTGATTTTTAAATGGAACGCCCTATATATTTTCACATATTTAGAATCCTGAGAAAATTCTGAGTCGGACAGCATCCTCAAATTGACCTTTCGACTTTTCGTCATCAGAAAATGCATTATCATAAATACAGTGTTGTAACAGTTACAATATTTTCAGTATCTAGCTACAGTTACAGTTACTTACCAAAATTTGTAACTAGATACAGATACAGATACATATTTTATTGCAGTAACTAGTTACAGATACAGTTACCTTCAAAAAGTATCTAGATACTTTAAGATACATACAAATTATTTTTTGCTTTAAAAAATTTAAAATAGAAATAAAAGGGAATTTTAAAGTGACAACAAAAATATATATGTTTATTATTGTTATTTTTTTTATAATATTTAATTTAAAATAACTTATTTTTTATAATATTTTTTTTTAATAAATTATAGTCGCAGTTTAATTAAAAATGTATCTTTGTATCTTAGCACACCTAGTTACTTAGAATTTGTAACTAGTTACAGTTATATATATGTGTAACTAGTTACTTATCCCAATCTAGTAACTATAGTTACTAGATTGGGATAAGTAACTAGTTACACAAACAGATACATAAAAAGTATCTAGATACTGTATCTAGTTACTTGTAACTAGTTACGTTACAACACTTACATATTTACATATTTATGATAAATATCAATCTAGAGTGCTTTGAACCATTTGAGAAAAACGAATTTTGACAAGTTTAGACTGCTGGGAATAATAGCTGAATAATAACTTTCTAAGGCATTTTTTAGTCACTTTGTGAATCTATTAGAAGAAAATAAGATAGTTCAAAGCACTCTAGATTGATCTTTAAGGATACTGTCTGACTCAGAACTTCCTCAGGATTCCAAATATGTAAAGATGATGTAAAGATGTATAGGGCATTACATTTACTCTAATAAGCGGCATTTTATATCCTAATTAACCATGCAAAATTTCATGTGTCTATAGATAAAGATATATCTTTATAAATAAAAAAGTTACAGGGGTGCGCCTATTCTCAGATACACCCGGTATATATATATATATATATATATATATATATATATATATATATATATATACATATATATATATATAACATAGTAAAATGCAATATACAGGGTGTCCCAAAAAAATAAAAATTACAAGTCAAATTTCGCCATTTGAGATTGTACGAGCCCTAACCACATAATGTTCGGACACTTCATAATTTATACAGAAATTTTTTTCGTGAATACTATCTCAAAATTATTAGAAGTTATGAAAAATTCAGCTTATTTTGGCATATACCCCTCGAAGCGATTTTTATTTTTAAAAAGTTTACCTTTTATTTTTAGCTTTTAAAAAAAGGCTAACTTTTTAACTTTTTTTTGTATGAGTAAAAAAAGTTATAAATGGACCCATTAAAAAGAGCATAAAATATTATAGTTATAAAAAAGTATAAGTAATTTAAAAATGCTATTTTTAAAGAGTTTTTGCAATTTTCTTAGGAAACGGGAGATTTTGCAGATATATATATCGCTATAACTTTCTTATTATTTATACAATTTTTACCAAATTTTCAGGGTTTGTATAATATTTTATGTTCTTTTTAATGGGCCCATTTATAACTTTTTTTACTCATGCAAAAAAAAGTTAAAAAGTTAGCCTTTTTTTAAAAGCTAAAAATAAAAGGTAAACTTTTTAAAAATAAAAATCGCTTCGAGGGGTATATGCCAAAATAAGCTGAATTTTTCATAACTTCTAATAATTTTGAGATAGTATTCACGAAAAAAATTTCTGTATAAATTATGAAGTGTCCGAACATTATGTGGTTAGGGCTCGTATATGTATTTTCTCAATAAAGAGGTTTATTATTATTATTACTAGATAATAGTGTAATCGAATGAGAGCAAAAAACCGGCATCCAATACTGAATCTGACAAAAGATATATTGGCCCAATATTATTACAAATATTGGGCCAATATCTTAGTGCTGTACAAAAAAAAAATATTAAAAAAAGGTATGGGAACAAAAAATAAAGCAACAGAAAACATGGAGTATGTTTAATGCAGCGAGTCTTAAGTCTTAAGAGAAGAGCAGAAAACAAAACTCCATAGAAGCTAGGAGTATCTAATTATTAAAAATAACTTATAACTTTAAAAACAAAATAATGGTACCTACTCACCAAATAATCAAACCAAATATCCCTAGATAATCACGTGTTTGTAATCCAGTGTTGCCGAATCTTCTAGACAAGAATGACAGATTGATAATTTTTGTTGGACACAGTCAACATTATCGTATTCAATTAACGCATATCTTATAACATGATGATTTTTTTTCTTGTGTACACTTATCCCTGGAAGTGGAATATAATTGTTTGTTGACATTTATAACATAGTTTATAAAGTAAAAATTATTAAAGTTGCCATAGCAACTTTAATAATTTTTACTCGGAAACCAGACGGTCAACCTTTCTAAAACTTTGTAAAAGTAGACTACTACTACCTAGAATTTAAATGCGACTTTGTATTATTATTATTATTATTATTATTATATTATTTTAATTTAACAGGGGGACAATTGCCCCCTCTTGCCCCCTAATATTGGAAATAAGTAAAAAAAGGCAACAAGAATTAAAATTTATGTTTCAGGAAACTACAGGGCCAAATTTAGCCTCCAGGACCAAATTGACTCTTGCTGCAAATATATAATAACATAAGATAGTATGTAGATATAAAAACAATTTTGTTGTAAAGTTTCACGAAATTTATTAAATTTTGACAGCTGTTTCGCTACACAGTAGCTTCTTCAGAAGAAGCTACTGTGTAGCGAAACAGCTGTCAAAATTTAATAAATTTCTTGAAACTTTACAACAAAATTGTTTTTATATCTACATAGTTAATATGGAGTTTCATCAAGTAAAGGTCGAAACAATTAATAACATAAGATAGTTTCTAGGCCCGTAGAATTTCTGAAGTACGTTCTTAAATTTAATTTTGTAGCATTTTGGGGCGGGATTAAAGTCCCTCACCCCCTTGGCTACGGGCTTGCTTACAATACACAACAATGGGCATTAAGTGTCCACTTTTTTAATATGTCGATGGTACTAAAGGTTTAAAAAAAATAATACGAAATTAATAATTTTTATTTTACCAATACAGAAATACATTTTTAATATTATTAAGTGCTTAGCTTAGTTCTTATTATAAGAACTGCTTAGATACCAGTCTATTAGTTCAAGGTTTCTTGGTTTCAAGCCTTTACTCTATAGTTACATTTTTAGTTCTTATAAATTAGGTTAATGTGAGCTAAAGTAATATTTTCTAACATCAATTTATAAACTAATTAATTAAACAATGCAATCTCTTTAATCAATATGATGCCTCTTGCTGTATATATAATAAAATTTTAAAGATCTATTTTGTGTACATTTTAATAATAATTATAATTTAAAACATCTTAGATTAAAGACTAATTTTATATACCTTGTTTAATTCTTTACAGACCACCTTCTAGCTATTTTTCTAATACTGGACGATCTATTGCTAAAATTGGGTCTAAAACAAATCATTTCAGTTATACTGAGGTTGGATTTTATGCTTGATAAAAGAGTATTTTGTTCAGAAATTTTAGTAGCCGGTTCAAAAGGCATATTTTCACCCTTGTGATGACGAACACCTGGAATATTGTATACATTACATTTATAAGTTTTAGCAAACATTTAAGAAACTTGGTGCAAGAAGGGTATAAGTCTTGGTTTCATCCAAATTTGATTGCAAGAATGTCTTTTATTCTAATGACTTATTCCATTCTTACACAAGTCACTTTAATTAAATAACTTAATGCTAGTTTGATTGGATAGTATTAAATATAATATTTTCTATATTGTATTATTTTCCTTTTGTTGTTTTTGACATATTCCCTTATTGCACCTATAATTTAAAACTGCAGCATTCTAACCTGCCAATTCGACTGACTCCACTTCAGATGCATCGTCACTTTTTTCTTCATTAATGTTCTTTGGTGGTTTGGAAACGCTGAATACTCTGTTAGAATTATTATTACTTTTCTTGAATAAAGCATAAAATTCTTCCTTGAATTTTGGGTGAGACAGGGCGTAAACATAAGGATCTACGGCACTCGCCATTTTGGCAAACAACGCTGGAATCATGGAAGTAATAGGATTAATATACTGTTTATTCCCTGATACTCCCAATAAAGCAACAATTGCGTACGGGGTCCAAGAGACAAACCAAAGAAAAACAACTGACAAACAAAGCATAGCCAGCTTCATTTCTTGTTTTCTTTTATCTTCTTCCTTGGAATGCCTGGAAGAATCTCCACTGACCGAAACCGATCTATTCATGACCACCGACAAAATATTAATGTAGCTGAAAATAATCAGCCCCAATGGCACGCAGAACGCAGCTACGAAAAACACCAAAATAAATATCCTCGCCGTATTATCATCAGTCAAATAGTCGAAGCTGCAGCTGGTCAAATAGCCTTCCGGAACATAAGAATTAAGACCGATGTTTAGTGCAGGGCACACGGAAAATATTAAGGCGTATATCCATACGACAACTATGCAAACTTTTACTCGCATGTTGGTGAAAGATCGGTTTAAGGGATACTTAATGACGTAGAATCTGTCCATTGCTATCGCAGCTAGTGTGCATATCGAAGCTATGCCTGTTAGGCCTCCCAACAGGCCATATGCTCTACAACCTAAAAAAGATACTTTATAATATTTTTTTTTACATTTTATTTACATATAAAAGTAAAAATGATTTGCTGACATTATTGCTTTTTGTGAATTTTAAAATATTATTGTTTCATGATTTTCTATTTTTATCTTCAATAGGTCTATAACCTAGGTACTTAAATATGATTCAGACGAATCGGGTAAGGTTATTTATGGCCTAGGCCGTAAAAATTTATTATTTACTACACGGAGAAAAAAACAGTAACCTTTGATGCGCAGAACACTAATCCACTGGATATACGAGGTGTGTTCAGAAAATATTGGGAATTTTCGTTTTTTGAAAAAAAATAGGATTTAGTGACCCGTACAGATTACAGATATGGCACATAAAGCATTTTTGTAGAACTTTTGATTACGAGTAAATCCCTTTTTGAAACAATCCAATAGCATAAAATGTGGCTGAGATATAGATATTTAAAAAAAATAATCAAAGTTTACGTGTATTTTAAATGGGAAATCTTTATACGCTTTGGTAGAGTACTTTGAGTTAATATTAAGGGCTCAAATTTCCAGGGAATTTTTTTTTTTAACATTTTCAACAAGATTTTGCGTTGGGAGCGAAAAAATAAAAATAGTCGTGTAAAAAAGCACTCTAATATTATATTAGTAATATATACATACATACATATATATGTATGTATATATATATATATATATGTATGTGTATACATACGAGGTGTGTTCAAAAAATATCGGGAATTCGTTTTTTGAAACAAATATTTATTTATTCGTCTACATTAATGTTGTCGCTTTCAAAATAGTCCCCATTGGATATTATGCACATGTGCCAGATCTTCTTCCAATACTCGAAACACTTCTAAAACTCGATATTTGGGATAGCCTTTAGTTAATAATAGTTCTTTCAGCGATGCGCTTTTAATGTCATCTATGCTTGCAAAACGACGGCCCTTTAAGGTTCTCTTTATTTTTGGGAATAGGAGGCTGGGGCATCATTAGGTACAGTATTCTTTTTGGCCAAAAATTTTGTTCAAAATTTAACAATTTTAGAACAAATTTTGCTGCCACGCATTTCATACCCAAAACATTCGAAAAAATTTCATGGGATAAGCCAATCGATATACCAACATCATCAGCGACTTCTCTGATGGTTTATAACCATTTATTCCACTTTTTCCATGTTTTTATCGGTTGTAAATGTGCTTGTGCGTTCGTCATCTTCAACGTCTTCACTGCCATCTTGGAAACTCTTATACCACCTGTTTTACTTAAAGCAGACTCACTATAGGACTTTGTTAACATTTCACAGAATTTATTTTATTTTTTGAGCAAAATTGGATACAAATTCTTTGATTCATTTCTTTTAACGAACGAAAAATCGCCTGCGGCTGCCACAGACAAAGTAAACAATGAAAATAGCTAAAGTTTTTACCATACTTTTGGGGCAAGTATATATACCAACATAATAAAGAAAATTTTATGACAGCCGGACCCTCCGAACCCGCGAAATTTAACAATTCCCGTTATTTTCTGAACACACCTCGTTCAATGTAAACGTCAATGTAGTATTTGAAATCATACAATTTATAATAAAACCTCACAGGTTAATTTGACCATAGCAATGGTTATTTTTGTCACACCAATAGGAAGCAACATAAACTTAGTATACTCGTAGTAAGCCATATTCTGCATATTAAGGATTATTTCCAAGTTACTGTTTTGAGCATCAATGGTTAATGTTTTATTTTTTCCGTGTACTTTGGACCAATAAAAAAATTAGAATTCTGTCAGATCTATCTAACCTTACTTTCTACTTTTAATAATTGTTTTATATGTCGTTTAACATTGTGCCTTAAAGATAAAATGTATGCCATTTGGTCTCAGCATGGAAGTAGTACTTTAGTAGAATTTATTTTTAAGTTAAAATAACTACATGTTTAACTTATAAATTATTTTACAGTAAACGAAAACGGTAAAATAACGATACAAATATGAAAACTATTTTTTTATATAACCAAATATGGGGAATGGTTTAATACGTTATTTTTACTACATAATAACTATACAAGCGACTAAAAGAATTTAGTAATAAAAACAAAGTAAATACCACATACTTTCGTAAAAATAACATTAAAATTACCTACTTAATGACTGTTCTCTTTTTCTAAACATATAACATTTTTCATATTTTCTTTGTCTTTTTAATTTATATTTCAAAATGATATATCTAAAGTAGTTAATAAAATGTACCAGCAGGTTAAATTAATAAATATAAGTTATATTGACAATAAATTTTATTAAAATAGTATTTTGTTTTTTATTCTTTCCATCACGTTTTTTATAATTTATAATAATTAAATTCCTAAAACTTTGTTTAATTGTTGTTTTCCATTATTTTTAAAATATCTTCTTTAAGAAATGTATCAACTGTCAATCAATGATATAACTAATTTTTTGTGACATTTCATCGGTACCGTAGAACGGGGTGACTTCGGACGATTTTTTTTCAAATTTTGAATCGGTTCTGTTTGTTATTTTGAACTAAATTTTTTACAGGGGATTTTGGCATCCTTCCGGTATAAGTTTACGTAAAAATTATAATAGTCATACAAATACTAATACTACTTTTTTTGTCAAAGTCTGTCCGAAGTCACCCCTTAAGGTGGGGCGATTTCGGACAAGCGTTGTAAAATGTATATAATCGAAGCTAGCACATTCAGTGGCGACTTCGGACAGAAATATTGCTTTAAAAAAAAGTATAAAGCATAAAATTATGAAAAAAAAGCATGAAATTAGGTAAAAACTCATTCAAATGAAAAAGGGCATTTTATTTATCAAAATACAAAATAAAATTGAATTCTGAGGATCAAAACAATAAAACAAATTTATTTCTTCTTATACTAAATACTAGTATATTAAAAAATATTGTCCTCTGTATAGTTTCTGTAAAACTTGCTCTCCAACATTTTTTTATAGACCCTAACCATGTCCGAAGTCGCCCCCTAAAATGCAAATATTTGTATTACACCATGGTATAAAAGTTAATGTAATACGAACGTAAACCAAAAAAAAATAATTTATCAACAAAATTACGTACTACCGAAAATCTATATTATTTTGATCATACAAGTGCATATTTACTTGCTGGCACCAGTTACTTTTACCAAGTTATAAAATAAGTAAAGTTTGAACTCCAGACTAAACGATGCAAAAAGCTTATTTCACCTAACAACCGAACCCACGCGCCTCTTGCCATAGCTTTAGCCATCTTCTACGAAGTTTTTTCCCGAATTACAGAACTCTGTTACGTCAGACGTCCCAATCGCGAATTTTTAAAAGCTTTAAGGTAATGATGTCCGAAGTGGCCCCGTTTTACGGTATCTGAGATAAATATGTCAGAATATTATATTTTTACAGAAATTTGCTTGTATTTCCGAAACCTTACTATTTAGGTATAGGGAATGGTTATACCAATCGAAATGTAATTCATTTTCCTATTTGATTATGTAAAAACATGCATACTGTTCCATTGAAAATAAACAAGTTAATAAGTTAACCAAATTTACCACGATTTTTCTCTGGTTTTTGATAATAAATATGAACATTTCAGACATGGAATCTTTAAAACAATGTTTTAAGATTCCAAAAATACTTACAGCATACCAGCAAACCGAATATCAAAAAAGTTATAAGCAATTTTTAATGAAGGTGCAACTGTCAAAATTTTACGAAAAAAATTATTAACTCGAAAACTATTAAGTTTAGGTAGGGAATGGTACAGCAATTTCATTAAGAATTTCATAAAGAATTTAAAAATAAAAATATTACAGGGTGTTCCATTGGAAATAACAAAGTTGATGTCGCTTCCGGTTAAACCGGAAGAGAAATTTTATTTAAAATAATTTTAAAAGGTAGATTAAATTGTACAATAATTGCTATAAAAATTTCAAATTGATATCCTAAGCCGTTCTCCGTAAACGTCTAAGGTACCATCGCTGGTGAGACACCCTGTATATATATATATATTGAAAAAAAATAAACTTTTTGTTTTTTCCTGTATACTGATCAATTTTCCAATTCTCTTTATACGTAGAAAAAAAGCATTTTTTAGTACCTACATAACCCCACTTTTAATTTTTTTAAAATAAAAATGTTAAAGGGGGGCGACATTATAGGGGATCACCCTGTACATATCTGGGTTTTTTTAAATATTATTCACAAAAATTATTTTATATTTAATTTATATTTATCTCAATGCATGTTTTTCTAAATTTAAATTCCACATAAATAACAAACCCAATATAGTTTTAATTTAAAATAATTACCTAAATATGAAATGCATTTATGAAAACAAAAAAGGCTTTTTTGGAAAATTCCTCCGGTAAGTGATCGAGTAACCAAAACAATACATTTTGTGACCTAATACAAAATCACAAATAGGTACTATTATAAGTTGAAAAAAAAGGTTGTCCTAATATTTTGAAAATGTAGGTAAAGGTCAAAAAAACATGTACTTATTTAACCTTAATGGAAACTCATTATTTTGATATGCTGAATTATCGTTAAATGGAATATTGGTTCTATTCGTTGAACTCAAAGGGGAAAAATTATTTTGCTCCAGTTTCGCCAACTCGGCGACACAAATAGTAAAGCAATAATTTGTATGACGCAGTTTGTTAAGCAAATACCAAGTTTTTGCATCTTTTAATTATAATTGTTGGAATTGTTGTAGTCAGGTAAGTAATAAAAATAGGAAATTCATAAGAAAAAAACAGGTAGGCACGTAGTTTATTAGTTTAATAATAAAACAAAATGAAATCGTATAAATTTATGAAAATCGCATGACAAAATTTAATGATTTACTTACCAATATCACCAAGAGCTGGTCCTTCATAATAACTGTTAAAAATGAACACTGGCATTTTAACGAGTAAGAAGAAATCACTTATTGCCAAGTTTACAATCAACATATTTGCAGGGGATCTTAAAGCTTTTTTGCTAAAAAAAAATAATAAAACATCAATGCAAAATTCATACAGGGCTTCCCTAAAAAGATGCATTAAAGGTATATCAGACTATAGGGAGGGGGGGTTTAATTATGTATAAAAATTATAATTTTTTTCCACGAGTAGTTTTTGAGTTTAATGAGTTTAAAAATTAAATTTCAAGTTATTTTAAGATTATATTCCTACTCAAAATGGATAAAGTAATAGAGGTTGAAGAATCTATAATGTGGATCTGATCGAGACTAACACTTTTTTTAAATAAATATTTTTCACTTGAGCTTGTTTTTTCGAATTATCGATCTTTTTTGTTTTTACACAAACCTTTTAATCTTTTTTTTTTATTTATGGCCGGATTAAAAAAAGAAGTTTTTTAAATTGTCATCTACAATTCTTGTAATAAGAAGGGCCTAAGTGCAAGAACATAGTTCTTAGTTAATTCCAATTAAAACTTAATTTTTCAAACGATTGTGATTTAATTAACCTTTGTCGGAAACGGTTGAAACTTGGAATATGTGTTGGATAAAATTTATTTTTTTCATTGCAAAAAAGTTCTTTGTGGTAGTTTATAAAATTAAAACGTTTTTGTCACAATTTAGGCACGAGTGAGCTTGCGAGCGAGTGCTTAAATAAATGTCTAGAAAAGTTTATAATCGATTTGCATAGGTACTATACTTTTTCTACGACAAATACTTATTATTACCTAAAAATAATTTAAATAAAATACACTCGCAGTCAAGTCCCATCTATTCTTAACAGTTTTGTTTTTGGTTCACCTCGATATATTTATTTTTTAGGAAAATTTGGATTTTTTAAAAAAACATTGCAATTTCCAATATTTTTTCTGAACGAAGAACTAAGGTTGCTATGATCCATCCATAGCCTATGGAGGATGACAGTGACAGTTTTGTTGAATCATTCCATACTTGGGCAAGTCATATACGGCTTTCAAAAGCTATTAAATTGTTTTTTGTAAATTAATGTGTTTGGGTGTCTTTCTTACTTTTAAAAAGGGATGTCTCCGACTGATGTTGCTAGAACCATTGCTTTAATCCAGGATGGACGGTCATAGTATTACGTGTTTTGTGTTTTGAACGCCACAAGAAGTAAAGTACCAAGGGCCGCAAATCGGTTTAATCAGCATGTCTAGTACAGTAGAAGGAATCAATGTGGTAGGAAGAGGTGTACGAATGAACGAGATGATCGCTTTATTCGACCTAATGTTTTACGTGACCAAAAAGTAACTTCTGTGCAGGTAAAAAACGGATTGGAGGACGTACGACAAGTCCAAGTAAGCGAGAAAACGATAAGAAGAAGGTTATCTGACATTGGATTACACACCATAACGGAGCCTCCATAGGCGAAAAATGGTTTTGAACAAAACGTTCTCCTGTTCTCCTATAGATTCTTTGACGACCGTTTGGTGATTTTAAACAAAACCTAGCTTCGTTGGTAAATAGTATATTTTTCCACTCATCAATGCTCAAGTTTGTTCCCTAGCAAATCTAAGGCGTTCAATCTTGTGGTTTCTTAGCAACTCGGGTACGGTTGCAGGTCTTCTTGCGTGTAATCCAGTCAGATAACCTTCTTCTTATCATTCTCTCGCTTACATGGACCTGTCGTACGTCCTCCCTTCTGCTTTTTACCTCCACAGAAGTTACTCTTCGGTCACTTAAAACATTAAGTAGAATAAAGCGATCATCTCGTTCATTCGTATATATACGAAGAGGTATACCTCTTCCTACCACATTGACTCCTTCTACTGTACTCACCATGCTGATTAAATCGATTTACAGCCCTTTGTACTTTACTTCTTGTGGCGTTTAAAACACTTGCCACGTAATACTGTGAACGTCCATTCTGGATTAAAGCCATATATATGGTATGGTATCCCAAGCAACAATTTTGGCCGAAATAACCTTTTTCGACCCCCTGTAAGGCAATCGACCATTTAATACCATCCCTGTTAAAGGCAAATTTACGTTACAGTTACGTAATATTTTCGTAAGTGGGGAATAAAAAGTTAGTAAATTTAAGGTATTTTGGAAGTAGAAGAAGGCATTGTGACCAAGACTGTTATTGCAAAGCTGCCCAATTTTAAGTTGCTGTGACGTAAAATAGTGGTAATCTATAACCAATTATCAACCTGTAAGTTCTTTTAGTTCGATCCCACTCTCCGCTATTTTATCTATGTCAAAATAATGCTAAAAATATAGGTACAAGTTAACAAACACTATTAGGACCATAAATATATCTTTAAAGTCCATTTTTAAAATGGGTATTTTGAGTTACCTAAGGGCCAAATTACTGGGCGAGTTGAATTTTGTTGTCAAATATCCTTACTGTAGCGCTAAATAACAGAAGTGCCCTTGAAAATACTTAAGAAAAACATTTTTTTTAAATATTTGTCAATTTGGAATTTTCCTTATTTTATTTTATGGAGCGCTGAAAAGGTGGTTTTTCAGTTCGTTAGTTTTTTTAAGTTGTATACAGTCCAATTTTAGAAAAAAAATCTCAAACAGTGGTTAGATAAAATTATTTTTTCCTTTAATACTTTGGTGTAAACTGTTTTGGTTATCAGAAAAGATGGCGATTTCGACGTATTGAACTTAAAAATATAATTTCCCTATAATTTGGACCTGTAAAATAAATTTCCCTAATGTTCAGTTAAAATAACCTAAATTACTGCCTATGTAGTCGATATGTCTTAACAAGGGAATAAATATTGTGAGGTCTATTAGCAATTGCACAATAATGCCCTATTTTTAACCATAAATGCCCTATTTTCAACCATAAAGTAAATTAGTGCCCAGATTTCGACTTTGTAAGCCATTATCATAATTGCGCATGCGTATAATAAAACTGTCAACAGCTGTAACACGCCTAGTTGCTCGTGTGTATAGTTAACAATGGGAGACTATTTTAAAATAGTTGCTATAATAAATAAAAGAATGAACAAGTGTACTGTGGAATACAGTTTTATTCCACATAAGTGGGAAGAAGATGGTAACGTGAATTAATGATGATGTTTTTAGTAAGGTTCTGCCGTCTTTAGGCAAATCAAGACCACAACCTCTAAGAATATTCAACAAATGCGTTGTGGCATCTAGGTTTATTTTATGAGACAACGCCCAATTAGTTACTTATTCTATTAGATAAAGCTTTTTGCCTAACAGTTCTTCTTCCCTTTTGCTAAAATTATCTTCGCAAGGGATTAAATCAATTTGCCCTTCGTTAAAAGTGTTCCGATGTGTTTTCCGTACAAACTGATTTTTTGATAGTAAGTGGACCGGTTGAAACACTGGATAAGTTTACAGCATTATTAACATTTCCTTTTCGTAATATTAAACATTTTTTCAACTTGCGATAATAGCTAGTAGTCAGCCTGTACGGCTTAAAACACTTTCGCGACATCTTGCTAGTTCCAGCGCTCACAACAACAAAAACAGAACTAACTTTAAATTCTAAATAAGTCCAAAGGACCTGTTAGCAGGGCCATATTACCCATTAGGCAGGCAAGGCAATTGCCTTAGGCGCCACAAAAAAATAGGCGCATTGTCCCCAACCAACTTAAAAAAATTGTTACCAAATGGTTTATTTTTACAAAAAATAAAGCAAATAAACTATATACAATTATGAGAACGGTATACCGAATATTCTTTAGTGTTTTTATTATTTTATATAACAGCGACTTCCTTTGTAAGGCGGTGTAATGCCTTACATAAAACTACAGGGAATTAAAGCTGTTTTACATTTTTTTAAATACTTACTGCCCAAGTAGCACCACTGGTTAAATTAACGTTATTTTGTAATAAGTGAGGAATTTAATTATGGTAAAATTAACGTTATGATAGTTAATAATAATAATAATAATAATAAAACGACTTTATTTGATATAAAAAGTAATACATCAAAAGGGCGAAGTTTGATCATGGATCATTCTTCCACTTAACCCTACTATACATAATGAATTTTTATTTATAAAAAAAAAACAAAAACAAAATAAAACATGGTAACTTAATAATTAAAATATTGTGTAATACAAAAAAATAAAAATAAAAATAAAAATTATAAACAAAATAGTTTAATCAAGAACAAATCATAGTGAAAAATAATTTCTTAACAAAAAAAAATAATAAAATAAAATAAAAAAGAATAAATATATTATGCGTTTTGCTTCTCAAGGAATTCAGTTTTCAGAACAAAGCGAAAGGTATCAATAGATAATTTTGTATTTTTAAAACTTGACTTTAACGTGTTATAAGTCTTAACTGAGAGATAACTGAAAGATTTCTGAAACAAAGCCGTGGTGTGGTGGGGCATGGTTAAAGTAGATCCGTTACGTATGTCACGATCATGAGCTTCACTTCGATACTTTAAATTTTCTCTTAAATATTGTGGTAATGAGGTTTTTAGCGTTTTAAACACAAGACAAGAATAATTAAGTCGAAATACATTTTCCATATTTAACCACTTTAGACGTTTTAAATAGGGAGATATGTGGTCAAATTTTTTAACATTAAAAACAAACCTGCAACAAGAATTTTGCATCTTTTGAATTCGATTTTTAGTAACTTTATCCAAAAATGGGTAATAAACAGGTAAACAGTAATTAAACGTCGATAAAACAAGTGATTCGCAAAGTTGTTTTTTGGTTTCTAAATTTAATACATTTCTGTTTGCGTATAATGTTTTGAGACGAAGATATACACTTTGTAATAACTTATTTACATAATTTGTGAATTTGAAACTGTCATCAAAAGTTACACCCAAAATCATAATTTTTTTAGAAAAAGTGAGAGGAACATTATTTATGTTTAAATGAAGCGAGCTTATTAAATGATTACGGTTAGGTTCAGAACAAAATAATAAAGACACTGTTTTTTCGGCATTTAATTTTAAATTATGATTTTTTGCAT